CAACCGTTGGAGCCCCCCAGCCGCTCGGCCAGGTGGAGGGTCGGCCCCGGCCCGCAGCACCCTGGGAAGTGGAGTCCTCGAGGCGCCGGCGAGACCGGGTGCTGCCGGGAAATGGAGTCCTTCCGAGCACTGGGACTGAGCGAGCGAGGAGGCACCGGCGGCCGCAAACTAGGGTGGCTGGACCGGGGTGGGAGGGTCCGCTGCTTCCGCTTACTCGGGCGGCCGGATGCCACCCGTGGCTTTGGCGCCGCGGAAAGAGCTGCGACCCCTGGCCTGGAGCTGCTTTTGTGAACAGAGGAAGGACCGGCCCTGGAGAGACGGCCTCGGACCTTGGGTGCAGGGTGGGGGGGCCCTGTGAGGGATCCTAACATCGGCTGCAGACCTGTGCTGAGCCGAGCCCCTGGAACCCAGCCGCTAACGCACCATCTCGGTCCTGCTCCCCGATTGTAAATGTGCACACGCACGCGCTCTGTTTGGGGGCCGGTCCATGGGGACAGTGGGCTATAGGCACCAAGTCACTCTCCAGAGTCACAGCGGGGACGGGGGTGGGGGTGGGGTGGCAGGGCGGACCTGGCCACCTGCAGTCCTTTCCCTCCAATGGGCTCGGGCAGGCAATGTCTGGCTTGTTGGCCACGTGGGCTCTGGCTTCCTCTGCACACTGGCACTGCAGCTGTGCTCCAGGGTCCACCCCGAGGCAAAGAGCTTTGTCTGGGGTTGTGCGAGGATGGCGACCTGGGGGCAGCAGATCCAGGAGAACACCAAGTGTCCCAAAAGTAAAAGCGAGGGTCAGCCTTTTAATATGTGAAAAGTTACGTTTTCACCACGAGATACAGGCACGCCTTGGGTGAGGTGTTGAGAGCCCATGGGGAGTACCAGAGAGCAGAGGGAGGTGACCAGCAAGCAGGAGGCCGCCGGCTTGGCTTCACCTGCACCCTGAGCTTCCCAGATGTCTTATTTTCAAGGCCAAGAGGACATGCCTGTGTCCGGTGTCCCTGGTGGCCTCTTAGCACCATTTTGAATAAAAGGCTTTTTCTTTTTCAAATTATCTGTGACCAGCATGCAGCATGGTGGTTAGGGCGCTGGACTCCCACATGGCAAACTGCAGCTCAAGTCCCGGACCTGGCAGGTTGCTTTCTCTCTCTCAAACGCACGTGCTCTCTCTCTCTCTCTCTGTGTCTCTATCTTTTCCTGATGAGTTCATGTGTTCTATAGCAAAATTTAATAATGATAATAATAATAATAAATAAAATTTAAATTCTTTAAGAATAGGTTTCCTGGGGCCAGCAGATGGTGTGGTAGTTAAGGCTCTGGACTCCCCATGGCCGACTGTGGTTTGAGTCCCAGACGTGGAGGCTTTCTTTCTCATTCTCCCTCTGTCTTTCTCTGGCAAGTACATGTGCCCTGTGGCAAATTATAGGATAATAATAATGATAAGTAAATAATTCTTTTGGGGGGAGAAATTTTTGCTATAGGACACATGTGTTCACTAGAGAGAAAGAGAGACAGAGAGATAGCAAGAAATCACCCTCCAAGGGGAATGGCCACACTGCAATCCCTTCTCCTTTCTCCTCTCAGGATCTTGGACACACACGCTTGGCATGAATTTAAGCCACTGGGTCTGGGACTTGAACCGCGGTCAACTACATGGGAGTCCAGCAACATAGCCATTATACCAACTGCTGGTCCCCCAATATCTCGTCTTAAAGTTCAGTCATTTCATTAGACTTGAAGGTCTCTATTTTTTTAAAGAATCATTTAACTTTGTTTTAAAAAAAAAAAGAATCATTTAACTTTGCTTATTTACTTTTTAAAAATTTATTTTAATTTGACCAGAGAGGGACAGAATGAGAAAGAGGGAAAGTGAGAAAGCAAGCTGCCAGGTCCAGGACTTGAACCGTGGTCTGCCATGTCCAGTGCCCCCAATCACCATGCCACCTGCTGACCCCTGGGGTTCTCTATTATTGTCTTAGTGTACAATGAGGCTTTTCAGGCACTGAGACCAGATACCCCTTTTTGTTTGTTGCTTTGGCTAGAAGGCATGTGTACTCGCCAGCAGCAGAGAGGCGAAGGGAGAGGAGAAAGCATCTTCATGGGGACTAGTCACACTGCAAACCCTTCTCCATTGCTCCCTCTTTTTGGGACTTTGGGCATGCATACATACCCAGTGTATTTCTCAAGCTGTCGGGTCCAGGATTTGAACCACAGTCCACTCTGTGAGATCCAACCACCTTAACCACCAGGCCGTGGAGCCAGCTAGAGATCAGATACTCCTTTACTTCAGAAAAGTTTCCTTCGGTTGTACCTGTGAACCCCACCAGCCCCTTCTCACAGTCGTTTTATCGGTAGGCGTAAGGGTCATTAAAGAGCTAAGACGGAGGCCAGCCCGCGGCACAGGGATTCCGCTCTGCACTGAAGACTGGTCCCCCACGGCCGGCAGTGTTGCGGTCACAGTCCCAGTAGCATGAGACACATCAGGCATGTACATGTGAGTGCCCGGAACCCCGGCTGGAGAGAGGCGTGGAGAAAGGCTGCCGTGTGACCATGCTCCCGGGGCGCCTTCTCTGACAAATCCTCTGGGTACTGAAAAAAAAAAAAAAGCCAAAATGATTATAATTCAAAATACTAACACTTGGGTGGGGAGCAGGAAAGGGACGCAGCCTCGGGGAGAGGAGACCACTGAGGTCTACAGTGAGAGACCACACACCCCCACAGAGGGCCCTCAGACCAAGAGCCCTACCTTGGGACAGGAGGGGAGCCCCTGCCCTCACCTGTCTCCTGGCCTGGTCTGATGCTCTGACCCCTAAGTCACAACCAGGTGGCCCCTGCAGGCCCCTGAAGGACCTGAACTCATGGGGCTGGGCTGGGACAGGGAAAGGCGGAGCTGAGACCTCACCCAGAGAGACCAGGTTCGCCGCTGATCCCCAGGTGACATTCCTGTACAGAGCCCTCTGCCCAAGGAGCAGATGCCCCCTTTTCCTGAGTAAGTACAGGGCATGTCCCCAAAGGTCAGCAAGCCCTGAAACCACACGCTCGTGCAGCCCATGGGTCACCAGCCTGGGAGTGGGGAAAGGACACTAGACGGGATGAGGGAGCAGCTGGCTCAGGGCTCACATCAGGCCTTGCCAGCTGCTTTGTGGGGAGGGTGGGCTGTTGGGGACTGGGAGACCTGAGGACATTATTCCAGGAACCTGACTGCCAGGAGGCCCCTAATGGCAAGGAGAGTTGGCACTCCCAGCTCACCACCACTGATCTCACCTCCTCCTCCCTGACCTGCTCCCTCTGTCCTCCCTGGTGAGAGTCCTCTCCTGAGCCTCAGGAGGCTCTGAGTCCCCGGTCCTGGAGAAGACTTAGGTGCCAGGCCCCAGTGTAGTGGGGACCACGAGTAAAGCCTGGGAGCCAGGACTCTGACATTCCTGCCAGCCATCCTGGAATCTGGGTCCTCCAGGTGGGGTATGGCTGAAGCGCGGGCTGCCCGGGGACGAGTCGGCAGGGGTGATAAAGCGACACTTGGACGAACATAAGCACTGGCAGCACAAGCCGATCCAAAATAATGCCAAACAGCACGGGGAGGGATTGCTGACCCGCGAGCAGGAGAGATGGCCACGGCGGAGGCCAGGAGACAACAGCAGCGCTGGTAAAGCACAGCGGGCCATCTCAGTGAGGAGACGGGCCGCGGGACAAGGACGAACCAGGATCTGAGGGCACTGCCCGGTCCAGCCTACCTGGAGAGCAGCTGCAGAGCTGCGCCTCCGGAATCCTGCCGTCGGGAAGCGCCGGGCGCCGGCCCCAGAGCGGAGCCCCGCCAGGCCCAGTAAGCCAGAGCTGGGGGGGGCGGGGGGGACACCCCGCCTCGCCCCGCCCCGCTGTCACCCGCCTCTTTTGTAAGCACGCCGCAAGCCCCACGCCCTGTGTCTCCTCCCGGCCCCGCCTCCCTTGAGCGAGTGCGCTGAGGCCCCGCCCCATCTGCTTCCGAAGAGGCCCAGGCCCCGCCTCCTTCAATGCGTGTGCTCAGGCCACGCCTCCTCCGCTTGCGTAGCCGCTCAGGCCCCACCTCCTTCACGTGGGCAGTCACATCAGGCCATGGACTGGCTTTTGGCCCCGCCTCCCGCAGATACCTGCTCAGGGTCACTTGGGATGCTCCCTAGTGGCACGGATCGCGGGTCTTTTCCGTGGGGTTCTGGCTCAGTGGGTCTGCAGTGGGGTCGGGGATCAATTTCATCCCATTCTGCTGGAGACCGTTGAGCAGGCAGGCTTAGGAGTCCTCGTGACGACTCTCTTGTTCTTGGGAAAGTCTGAGGGGCACTGCCCAGTCCCTGACCTGAGAGGCTAGTGTGTCACACACACGTTTTAGCGAACAACCCGTCGTTGTCCCCCAGGGCCTGGGATTGGCGCTGGCACAGCTCTGTCGAACAGGCGAGGGAGGGAAGAAGAAAAGAAACAAAGGGAGAGAGAGCAGAAAAAGGAGAGGCAGTTGGTTGATGACAGGAAGGCTAGAGGCTGGCCACAGCCTACGTGGGTAACAGGTGACAGGTGTTGGGACAGGGGCAGGCGAGGGGATTTCAGGTTGTCACTTAGATAGAGGAAAGGCATACTCAGTCACTGCATCTTAAATCCATCCAGGGCGACTGTTCCTGTAGGGAGCAGCCAATCTGAGCTAAGTAATAGCGACCTTTAAATCGGAGCAGAGCACAGACTCGCTCTGTGGATGCTGCACAGCCAGTGGAGGTGGGGTTTATTCAGACCAAGGGAAGCAAGGTGCTCCATAGGTGCAGTGGGTTATAGAAGACACCTGGCTTTACCCTCCGCTTCTCCCTCCCCCATTGCTCTATAAAAGAATAAAGCTGAGAAAGACACAGGGCTGTAGCGTTCTCCATCAGAGATGTCCGGTCTGCCCATCCTGCTTTTCTCTTCTGTACGATTGTTCTTTCCAAAGTCCCCCATTGCTTCTACTCTGGGGGCTCTCCTCCCCACATTTTGCCTAGCAGGTCTCAGTATGGGCCAATAATAAGTGGTATTTGTTTGTTTGAGAGATTTTTTGCCATAGGGCATGTACCTTTGCTGGAGAGACAAAGAGAAATCTACCCCCAAAGGGGATGGCCATGATTTTGAGCATGCACACACATGTGCCCAGCATGAGTTTTAAGCCACTAGGCTTGGGACTCAAACTATGGTTGACCACATAGGAATCCAGCATCCCAAACACTGCTGGCCCCAGAAGTGGCATTTTTCTAACTGAAGATCATCTGTTTCCTTCTGTGTCGTCATACTGCAGGGACAGAGAGACCCTGCTAGAGTTGGACTGTGTTCCCTAACATTCATATCCAGAAATTGAGTTGGAGATGAAAGTTTTATAAGATGCAGGGCCACCTGCTAGCCCCCAAATTAAATTTTTAAAAAAGTATTACTAGGTGCTAATTTAATCCAAGTAAGGCTAAAGGGTGGGGCCTTTGGGAGGTGGTTAGGGTTAGATGAGGCCATCAGGTGGGCCCTGTGATTAAGTCCTGGTGGCTTTACAAGGAGAGAGGGCACTAGGTGGTAACACCACAAGAAGATCTTCTCCAAGACACATTATAGCCAGGTTGACCAAAACCGCAGACAAAGATAAGACACTAATATTGGCAAAGAGAAAAACATCAAGTTACCTACAAAGGATATCACATCAGGCTAACAGCAGACCTCTCATCGGAAACAATGTGAACGAGGAAAGAATGGAAAAATATATTCAAAGTGTTAAAGGAAGGGACCAGCAGTTAGCATAATGGCTATGTTGCTGGACTCCCATGTAGCTGACCGTGGTTCGAGTCCCAGACCTGGTGGCTTAAACTCAAGCCAGGCACGTGCGCATGCGTGGCCAAGATCCCAAGAGAATGGAGGAGAAGGGATTGCTGCGTGGCCATCCCCCAGGGGGGTGATTTCTCGCTTTCTGTCTCTGTCTCTCTCTTTCTGGTGAGTGCACGCGCCCTATAGTGAAAACCTCTCCAAAAAAAAAAAAAAGAAAGAAAGAAAGAAACGTGTTAAGGGAAAAGCAATTTCAGCCAAGAATACTGTACCCGGCAAGATTATCTTTCATGTGGGAAGAAAAGACAAGAACGTTCTCAGATAAACAAAACCTGAAAGAATTTACCAACACTAGACCAGATCTCCAAGAAGTTCTCAAGGGAGTACTATACCAGGAAAATTAAATACAGACACACAGAAATAAGAGTCCAGAAACTAAGAAAATGGCCAACTTAATCATAGGGACAAGTCTGGAGTGGAATATTATACCCCAGACTTTAATCAGGAAAATCGAACCACGACAGAAGATAAAAGTACATGAGACTGAATTGGTGAAGTATAATTTTATGACTTTTGACTAAAACATTGCTGATTTTCTTATAGACTTTGTTATCTGGTTGTAAGGATTTGTGTCCTGTCTTGAGATATGGATAGGTTCATGTACCTACCATGTGAACAGAATCCTAACCTGTTTCCTGGCTTTAAGTTTTAAGCAAAATTCCTTAGCATTTCTCTGATTTAAGTTAAAACTGGTTTTCTTAATAGTACTAAGTGAACTTGCTATTGAAAGTAGTTAGATTATTTAAGAAATTGTATGATCAATACAATGTGGGGGGAAAGGAATGGAAGACAACTGTAGACACCAGAGATAGTGTGAGAAGAGGGTGGGAAAGGACAGAGGGTTAGAAACAGGGGTAAAAAAAATACTAGAAATTAGAAATGGAAAATTTTTTATAATAACATGCATGAGCCACTATGTAGTATATTCTGGATGGGAAATCACATTTTGTATGCTGTGACGATGTTTAGGGAATGAATGTAAATTAAGTTTAATAAAAGGTTCCAAAGAAATAATAAAACTGTTTTTGAAATTAAAAAAATGCATTAAAAATACTTATTCGATGACTGCAGCTAGGTGCTACTTTATACGATGTTCATTCTATTCACTGAGGTTCATGCCTAAAGTTGGACTTGTGTTCACGGAAATGTATATATCAGCTGTGCTTGCTATGAAAATATTTAGATTAATTAAGATCTTTAGTGACTCTGGGAACCAGCAGTTAGCGTAATGGCTATGTCGCTGGACTCCCAGGTAGTCGACTGCGGTTCGCGTCCTGGACCCAGTGGCTTAGAACTCACGCGGGGCGCGTTGTGTGCGTGCCCAAGATCCCGAGAGGAGGATGGAGAAGGGATTGTGGCGTGACCATCCCCCGTGGAGGGTGATTTCTCGCTTTCTGTCTCTATGTCTCTTTCTGTCTGTCTGGTGAACGCACGCGCCCTATAGTGAAAACCTCTCAAAAAAAAAAACCAAAAACCCCACATATCCTTATTTATTGTTCATTCATCCCCAGATTGAGCAAGAAAGTCTCCACTCAGCCCCTCCCCCCAGCCCAAGCCAGTCTCCTTTTTCTACTTCTTGTAGCCATTTTTGGGCAGCTTGGGAGCCCACCCTAGTCTCCCAAGAAAGCTTGTATGACCTTAATAGACTCTTAAATACTCTTTTGGCACACATGTGACATCATAAGTCTTGACTTTTGGAACAAAACTTTAAACGGAGGGCCCATAAAACCACCAAAGAGTGACCACGTCCCTGAAACTGATCAGTCACAGGATTGCCAACACAGTAAGAGCAGAAGCAGGGTAACTAGGGGCTGAGTCCTTGAAACTGCACAGTGTCGCTTCTATGGTATGCTGTTGGTCACAGTCACACCAAGCCAGCCCAGACCCAAGGGGTACAGAAATAGTCTGCATCTCTCCAAAGGAAGAGATAACAAACTTTTGTGGTCATTTTTACAACCCATCATCACGACTACCTAGATGAATCCAGTTTGCCACTGTCCAGTTTGCCCCTTTTGTCATGAGGAAAAATTCCATGAAGATGACTGGCAATTTTGTATTGATGAAGGGCTTCTTTATTCTTCCAGAGATAGAGGCTGGGATCCTAATGGCCCAAGCTTTATTCACTATACGTCCCCATGACACTGGGCACAGAATCCGCATCCCTCAATGAATGGCTGTAGAAGTGAACTGAAGTCAATTCTAAGTTAAAAATAATGTAATAGCTAAATCACAGGAGTTGGGAAAAAATAAGTCTGTCATAGAACATTTTGAGAAAATCTTCCATATATGTTCACGTATCAGGGAAAAAAAGCAAAACATACAGGAAACAAGAAATGGAAAATTATTTGTTGACGATAACATGCTTCTTGCTTGTTGATATGCTTGATTGAGCCAATATGCAGTGCACTCTGGACGGAAAATCTCTTTGTATGCTGTAATGATGTACAGTGAATGAATGTAAACAAATTTAAGTTTAAAAAAAAGAATTTCGAATTGTTTTCTTTGTTGTTAAGGTTTTAGAGATGGGGTCGGGCTGTGGTGCCCAGGCTGGCATCAAAGTCACGACTCTCCTGCCTAGGCCTGCCGAATGGCTGGGATGACACAGCATACCCTCCTTTTATTTATTTATGTTTGTACAGTGCTTTAGGGTGTGAGTGCTCACCAGAGACAGAAAGTGACAAAGTATGCTCCCCTGGTGGGAGGGCCATACCTCAACCTTCTCCTTTAGTCTCCTCTCAGGATTTTTGGGAACGCACATCCAATGTGTATTTTTCTTTTGAGACAAAACTTTGTGATAGGGTGAGTGTGCTTGCCAGACACTCCCCAGGGGAGATCGGTCACGCCCCAATCCCTTCTTCTCCATTCTCCTCTCATAACTTTGGGCATGCATGCACATACACCCAGCATGAGCTTTAAACTGCTGGATCTGGGGCTTGAACCATGGCCAAGTGCACAATCATGTCCGGCGACATAACCATACGTTATCTGCTCCCTCGTGTTTTGAAGCTGCCAAGCCAGGGACTTAAACCACATAGTCATGCGTGACCCAGCTGACTTAACCAGCTCACCACTGCTGGGCCCAGAGCCATTTTCTAAGTTTGTTATAAGGCAAGGTGCTCACCAGAGAGAGAAAAAGAGAGAGGTCATATCTGGGGGGAGGGCATGTGTGTGCATGTGCGTGTTGTATTTTTCAACCCGCTGGTGGGACTCAAACCACATGCAATTGGCCATGTGGGATCCAGCCACCAGAACCACCACGGCACCTGAAGGCCCAGAACTCCTTTTTTTTTTTTTGAGGTGTTCGCTATAGAGTGAGAGAGACAGAAAGTGAGAAATCACCCCTGGGGGGGATGGCCACGCCGCAATCCCTTCTCCTTCATACTCCTCCCAGGATCTTGGGCATGCATGCACGCATGCCGGGCCTGAGTTTAAGCCACCGGGTCTGGGACTTGAACAGCGGTCGACTACATGGGAGTCCAGCGACACAGCCATTACGCCAACTGCTGGTCCCCAGAACTCCTTTCTTCAAAAAAATTATTTTACTTATTTGTTTATTTCAATTAGACCAGAAAGGGGCAGTGTGTGAGAGAAAGCCGCTAGGTCCAAGACTTGAACTATGGCCGGTCATGTGGGAGTCAGCGCCCTTAATCACCTTGCCACCTGCTGGCCCCCAGAACTCCTTCTTTATAGTCACCCCTGCACCCTGTTTGTTTGGTTTAAGTTTTTGCCATATGGTGTGTGCACTCACTAGCAAGACAAAGAGAAAGTGAGAAACGACTGCCTCCGGGTGCTGGCCATGAGGCAATCTCCTCCCCATCCTCCACCTGGGATTTACTCCACCTCTATGCACCCCGTGAGTTTCAAGCCACCAGGTCCAGAACTGGAACAGTGGTTGGCCAGGTGGAAGTCCAGCACCTTAACCACCACACCACCTGCTGTGATCTTTTTTGTTTCTTAATTATTTCCTATTATTATTTATTTATGACTAGACAGAGAGAGAAAGGGAAAGTGAGAAAGCAAGCGGCCAGGTCCAGGACTCCAACCGTGGTCGAGTCCTGCAGTCTTCCCACACCACCTGCAGGCCGTTCTTTTTTGAGACAGGTACCCTTGCCAGTCTTGCCACGCTGTGATCCTCCCCACAGGCTCTCAGCTAGCTAGGGTCACAGGCAGGTACACCCTGCAAGTCCAGGTTGATCTGAGATCAGAACCGGAGCCGCCCCTGTGGTTCCAGCGTCATATCCCACCTCCTTGTGCGCTGTGGCCAGGCCAGCCTTCATTTTGGTCGTTAACTTCTACAACAGTTCCCCATAAGGGACGTTATTGTTCTCAAATTCTTTTTTTGGGAATTTTATTTATGATGGTTATTATTTTTAATTTGGTATAGGGCACATACAAGAGAAAGTGAGAAAGGTCGGGCGGTCGAACCAGTCGGCCGTGTGGGAGTCCAACGCCTAACCACCACGCCACCTGCCGGCCCTCATAAAGGACGTATTAAAAGAGTAACCGCAGAAGTGTACCCACGTGTCTACCTCACATGGGCAGCAGAAACCCAGAGAAACGAGGCGTCCAGAGCAGCTCGGGGTGTGAACTTCAGGCCGACCTCCGCCGTCCGGGGAGACCGGGACGGCTCAGCCGAGCAGCGGCGGAAAGCACTTCCGCCAACGCCGGCCTTTCCCCAGACCGGTTCCCCGCCGACCCCCCTGCACGTCTGCGGGACGCGCAGCCCTCCCGCCTTTCGGGGT